AAATCTGGGTCTGAGAAGGGTTCCTTTGAGTGTGGAATCAATGAGTTTAGTATAGGTGTTGAAGCGCTACGAAGAAGCATTTTTTTTCTTTCTTTTTATCGCTGAAATTCGACCTTTGAATTCTGCTGATGTTATGCTCTAGCGAGAGATTTTCTCTTGTTCGAAACAAGAGAAAGGTTGGGTTTTTATAGAGGGAGTCCCCGGGCTTGAGAAGGAAAACACTTGACGTCAAAATTCATCAGCAAATGAAGTCCCTGTTTGTCTATTATTCTCCAAAACATCTTCTTTTTTTAAAAATAAAAAATAAAAAATAAAATAAAATTAATGTTCAACCACACATTTTCGAGTTAAATATTTCAATAATCATCCAACTTATTACATGATCATAATTTACTAATTAAATTTCAAATTGTTTTACAATACTCACTGAACATTGTGTTTTTGTACTCCATCCATTACCTCTAGAAATTCGTTTCCTGATTCGCTAATGTGGTAAGTTACGGCAATTATAAAAATTACTACTCAGCCAAACTAATGTTTTATTACTCATCCAACTTATTCTTGATCACAATTTACTCATCAAACTTTAAAATGCTTTTCAATGTTTATCCATCTTTGAGAAATTGCACTCCATCCCTTCATTGCTATAGTAATGCATAGAAATCTCACGTTGCAAGTTACGATCGTTAAAAATTTATAGCTTATCCAAAACATCAATTCACCAAAATCACTATATATGGAACGCGACTTTCACGACCTCATAAACTTCTTTAAGCCCCAATAATGCATCCTCAATTTCAGCCCTAGAAAATTCCCGTCCCCAGTTCACTCATCTCATCTACATATAGCTAAATTGTGTGAAAAGACATACCCGATTGTTGATAAGAATACTAGAAGCTCTACTTATAAAGCCCTATCCCTTATTGATAAGAATTCAAGAAGCTACTACTTATTAGTTCGATGAGATTAGTGAATTGGGGGACTAGAATTTTTAGTGCTGAAATTGAGGATGCTTTACTGGGGGCGTAAAGAAGTTTATGAGGGCGTAAAAATTGCGTTTCACAATTGGTGATTTTGGTGAGTTGATTTTGCCACGTGAGATTTTCGTCAAATATATTAGCAACAAAAGAAACAAAATCTAACGGATGATGGATGGAGTGCAATTAAAGATGAGTGATCACTTGAAAGTATTTTGAAGCTTGATGAGTAAGCCATAATCAAGTAGAAGTTGGATGAATAATGAAACAATGTTGAGTTGTAATTTTTTTAACAACCGTACTTGTCACGTGAGATTTTTGTTAACCAAGTCAGTGAATAAGGTAATGAATTTTTTAGGGTGATAGATGAAGTGGAAAAGAAAAAAAGTTCAATGAACACTGAATCTTGTTGAAGTTTAATGAGTAAACTATGTACATGATATAAGTTGGGTAATTATTAAAACATTTAATTCTATATTTTCACAATAAAATATTTTACATGTAAATTTAAAACTATTTTCTACTTTAATTACATATTCTCCAAATATTACTATTCCAAACCTCTTTCTCTCAGAAATATATATATCAAATAGAGGTGGAACGTCCAAGAGTTTTCAAATATTGTTATTTTTGAATGGCTAAAGCCCTTGTGTATTGGGAGGGCACCTGTGCGCCACACAACCCTCTGGGCGTCCACGGGGTTGTCATCCAAAAATAACTCTTTTTGAATTGATTTACAAAAAAATACATGTTTAAATCGGTACTGAATTGTCTAATAAAAACCTTTCGCTGCTCAGCTCGGTCGAACAATAGAAGATACAAAAATAGAAATGCAACATAGCACGACACAGTACCTTGAGAAAACAATTTTAAACAAGCAGAAGACCGAACATTATGGAAATGTTGTATAAAACTGACAATTTAATTTTATATGTTCAATATTTAAATTTTTTTTTAAAATATATATATATATTCCTATTAAAATATACACATTATCATAAATAAAATTTCGTTCTTGTTTGATAGTCTTTTTTTTTTCTTCTTCAAATTTTCAGTTGGTCAAACTTCATTTTTTAATCACACATTTTGTTGATCTTTTTTTTTTCTACTTTTTTTTTTGTGTAGGGGCAATGTGGACAACAGATGATATGTCCACTAGCATCCATGCAAGCAAATTTTAACACGTTTTGATCGGAGATTTGGTCGGAGGAGATAATAGTATATGAACGTGAAAGATGCTCTATGACTCGAGACATGAATGCTTGAACACGGGTAGTACATTTAAAGATGATTGCATATTAATTATCAATCACGAATAACTCAACTAAAACAGGTTAATTTAAACTCAAACAAACAAGAACATGAAATAAGCAAGAGAAAAGACAAAGTATAATTTCAAGCATAAAGAGTTGTATATTGGCTTCAAAGTGTTATAATGGTTGGTATTTATAGTATTACAATCGTGATCTTGATGATTGGATGAAGTAGGCGTGGCTTCATCCGACCAACTAGGACGTCATATCGTAGTTGTCACAGCATCCACTTGCCATAAATTGCACTTAAGTGTGTGGGGGAAGAAGAATCGCTCTTTGGAGTGTGTTAATGTACATAATTAATTAGGCTGATAGAATTTGACTTAATTAGACTGCAAGTTGTCACATCAATCATTCGCCATATACAATGATCTCTTTGAGAATTGCTCTTCGTCCGAAGCCCTTTGGAAGAGAGAGTTTGGGATAGAGAGCTTCGATTATGGAGGATTTCGACTATTGAGAGGGCTTTGGTTTGTTGACTTTGGTTTATTACCACGAATGCTTGGACTAGAGTTTCAGAGGCGAGGCATAACACATTTCATTGACATACAACTTTCATTTTTAACCACACATTTCATGGACTCGTAGAGTTATAATCTCGTAAATCTTTTGTCAAAGACGACTTCTATTTGAATCAAATTAATGACCCATTTGACAAATTTTTATGTGGTTTATAAAAGAGGAATGCTATTAACCCCCAATTAGGTTGCTACCTTGGTCTAGTTGGAGTTGCAAAATCAATGGGGTTAAATAGTATTATTCTTTATAAAAAGAATAATAGTGTTCTTCAGGAAATGTGTAAATAATAATGAGTGATAGTTATAAATGTACTAGTAAAATTAATATTTGGTTTTGACTAAAATAAATAATTTGGCAAAGACAAATAGAAATGAATCCCAAAATATGTGTGTGAATAATAAATAATAATTATGAATATATATTTGAAATTAAGTTACTATTCATAAATTTTTTAACTATGACGGTCCAACAATTATATGATCACGTGACCTTGGGGCCCAACCAACCGCCTTTCTACCATAAGTTGACGGCCAGAATTCATTCAATCACGTGACAGTCTCCTAATGCCAAAAAACTGTTGGCAATTTTCTATGGATGAGCCAAATACAACGAAACCACATGCCATTTACGAGCTGGTGTCGACATTTCATTTTTTTTCCTCCAAACTATACCAAGAAAATTAAGCCCATGTTTAGCCTTATTTATTAAAATTTATTCACTTAAACTTATTTTTAATCACATGTTTTATCAAATTCATAATTTTTATTAACTTTTCAATATAAATTTCATCAATTTTTATCGAATCGACTAAAAATTTGATATTTAACTAAATTAAATGAAGAAAGCAAATTTTAATAATAAATAAAAAGTTATAATATAACAAAAAAAAAAAACATAAAATGGGATGACAGTGGGATAGGGTAAAATGGTGGCAATCCCCTTTTTCTTTTTCTTTTTTCTTTTTTTTTTTTCATTTTTATGGTAATTTGAAATTTGCAATGTTTTGAAAATAGAACCGATCATCGACCTGAAAAAGGTCATGGCTCAAGGGTCAAAATGTTTAATCAGGATTAAATCGGATGCAAT